CATTCAAGAAATTGAATGAACAAATATAAAAATAATACTCTATATACACTTCACTGTATAAATTGTACATTGATTCTTATTAAAGCAACTGTATTAAAGTTCTTCAGTCAAGAGTGTTTTTTCTCTTTGTGTTTGGTTGTTTTATTAACATTAAAAGGATAGTTCGAAATGAAAATTTGTGAAACTAAAGAAAATAGTCCCAAAAATGAAAATTCATCATTTACTCTCACTCAAGTTGTTTTAAACCTCAATGAGTTTCTTTCTTCTGTCGAACATAAAAGTTAGTTTCGAGAATGTGGTTAACCAAATAGTTGCTGGTCCCTAGTGACTTCCATAGTATTTTTTTCTACTGTCAGAGTCAATCGTCTTTTGTGTTCAGCACAAGAAAGAGCGAGTAAATAATGAAGGAATTGTAATTTTTGGGTGATCTATCCATTTAGGGACAAGCGCCTGCCATTAGGATGTTTACTACAATTAGTCTGCTGTCACTTTAAGATCTGCATGTATCTAATATACAGGTGCACATTTGGGGGTTTTTTCTCAACTGTTTACTTTCACTTTAGACATAACCAACTGTGTTTATATGTAAACCTTGTGTGTTTTTGACAGTATTAGACGCGAAATCAATCAGACGCAAAAGACAACTTAGTCTAGTAATCAGGCGCTTTTTGACAGGCTCAGTGTGAGCGCGCTTCATTAATGCGCGCTCAGAAAAAGCACATGCGGAACAGCACGTGAATTAAATGTTTAACAGTTGTAAATTTATTCATCGCACAGACCATTTTTTTCGTAGCACATGCAACATATATGTCGCACTGTACAGCCCAGTAATGTATGGAAGTCTATTTCTGCCACAGAGTGGGGGGAAAAAATAAAAAAAATAAAATTACACAGAAAAGTAGAAGAAAGATTAAAGGGATATTTCACCCAAAAATGAGAATTCTTTCATTAATTACTCACCCTCATGTCGTTCCAAACCCATAAGTCTCATTGTTAATTAGAGAGAAGGAACTGCAAGCACACACAAAAAAAGGCAAACAGCTACCCCATGTGGTAAGGAAGAATTATAATTCAATTAATATAATCTTCCAGTTTGACACCTTAACTACGATTAAAACTAAGGAAGTTGCAACCTGCAATTGCAATTTTAACTTCTTACATTTTCATTTATAGCTCAAAATACTACAAATATACCTGGCATCCTATGATCTAAAAAACGTGCCAACAGCAATAGTGCCATAAATAGATTTACACTGTCAAAGGCTGGATGATATTTAAAGATATCAAGAGTGTTAAAATGATCAGTTACTAGCTCCAGGCAATTGTAATTCTTATAATCTCAAATATGTGCACAGATCAAATATCACAGCTGTATAACTTTTAGTATAACTTAATTCTTACCAACAGTACCAAATCTTGTAGCTGCCAGGGATAATGTTTTTAAAGGGATAGTTCACCCAAAAATGAAAATTGTCATTAATTACTCACCCTTATGTCGTTCCAAACCCGTAAGACCTTCATTCATCTTCAGAACACAAAGATATTTTTTATTAAATCAAGAGTTTTCTGACCCTGCATAGACAGCAATGTAACTACCACGTTCAAGGCCCAGAAAGATAGTAAGGACATCGTTAAAATAGTCATGTGACATCAGTGGTTCATCCTTAATTTCATGAAGCTACGAGAATACTTTTTGTGCACAAAGAAAAGAAAAATAACAATTCAACAATTTCTTCTCTTCCGTGTCAGTCAACGCATGTTCACGAGAGTACCACGACGCATGCGTGTGCAATTTACTATTATAGTTATTAATGTTTTGAATAGGTTTTTGCTTTATATTTTCAGGTTTCATTTAAATTTGTTATAGTTTTATATTTTTGTGTGTTTTTTTGTCATTTATATGGCAACTAGCTGAAATAAATAAGTCTGAAGCTTTTAATTATTTTATTTCAGTTTTTTTATTTTCCCCAAGTAATGAAAATTGATGCTATGAATTTTTAATTACTGATTTTTTTTTTAAATGGTTTTAGTTTTAATTTATTTTTAGTTAATGGTAATAACCCTGATATTAGGCTGTAACCCTATTTTAGTCAAATTCTAAGGCGGCATTGCATGTGTGAAAATTTGGATGGAGTAACGACGGAAATGACAATTTTAAATATATTTATATTTAATTCATTACTGAAAGCCTTTGTGAAATTATAACTATATAAAAATGTTATAAAATATCATTTAAATGGCTATTTCACTAGCTATTTCTGTGCTCTGCATTTTAGAATTGTACATTTTTATGTATTTTTATTTTGTGGGTTATTTTTAACATATTTTGTGGTTTATTGTTATTGTCAATTATGTCTACCTTGGGGAGTTGCTGCCCTTTTTCGTCGACATCAGTGCGGCTCACTAGGCGCTGGAACTGATCTAGTATGTTCACAGCTGTTCGGTGTGTTTATGGGAATGTCGTAGACTCTTCAAAAGAAAACCCTGCACTCAAACAGTGTGTCCATCTTTCTCTAGGTGGAGTCGACCCAGAGCATGATTCGCATACTTGGTCTCTCAGCAACTCTGCCAAATTACTTGGATGTGGTGTCTTTTCTGCATGTGAACCCATGCATTGGATTGTTCTACTTTGACGGTCGTTTTCGTCCTGTTCCACTTGGCCAGAGCTTTGTTGGCATCAAGACTACAAATAAGGTACCCAGCAGCCAAGAAATCTCAAGCTATGCCAAATACAATTAGTTTTTCAGTCATCTTTTAGTCAGAAATATGAAATGTCATTGTAATTGTTATATTCTCGTCACAGGTCCAGCAGCTGCATGACATGGAGGAGCTACGAGAATACTTTTTGTGCACAAAGAAAAGAAAAATAACAATTCAACAATTTCTTCTCTTCCGTGTCAGTCAACGCATGTTCACGAGAGTACCACGACGCATGCGTGTGCATTCCTCTGCTTGTAAACAAGGTGCAGCGCATCTGGGTTCTGAGTCAGAATGCCGGCTCCTGCGTCAGCAGCATCATCACACACATGCATCGTGGTACTCTCATGAATGGCGGCAGAGACTGACCGGAAGAGAAGAAATTGTTGAATAAAGTTGTTGTTTTTGTTTTCTTTGTGCACAAAAAGTAATCTCGTAGCTTCATAAAAACTATTTTGCTTTTATTTAATGTGAATTATTCCTGTCATGGTAAAGTTTAATTTTCAGCAGCCATGTCTCCAGACTTCAGTGTCACATGATCCTGTAGAAATCCTTGTAATATGATGATTTGCCGATTATCAATGTTGCGCTACTGAATATTTTTCTTGAAGCTGATTAAAAAAAAATAATAAATACAAATATAACAATAATAATAAACTTATAGTGTATGTTTTGTTATTTGTAAACCCGAGATGTTTTTTTTTTTTTTTAAACCATGGTTTTTACCATTTGTCTTGTAGCATGGCTGTAAATAAAAATTTAAAAAACAATAATAATAACACATTTATAGCGTATGTGTTATTATTTGTTGACCCGAGATTTTTATTTTTTTTTTAAACACGTTTTTTCCATTAGTTTTGTAGCATGGCTTTAAAAATAAATAAATTAATTAAATAATAATAATAATAATAACAACACGGTTATAGCGTATGTTTTACTATTTGTGGACCCGAAATTATATATATTTTTTTTTAAACCATGTTTTTACCGTTTGTTTTGTAGCATGGCTGTGCCATGGTTTGTTGTACACATACCATGGTAGTTTTTGATTTCTGAAGACATCTTTTCACAGCTGAGTACACAAAGGTCTGCTCTCTTTCTGCTCAGAAAGACTTATTGCTGCTTAAAAGCCAGAATAAATCATGCCTGTAGTGTAAATTTGGCGTTATGGCACCATTTAAATACCATTAAAATTCATGCAGTACCATAATGTGTATCAACAGTCTAACGATCACTGTCCAGTGCACCATTGCAACAGTGTCTTTAGTGATTCTTTTTATAGTGTTGTGTGTTTGAAATATGTGCCCAGTGTTTTTTGCCTCAGTTCTGCTTTAGTTGAACCCTAACACAACAGAAGAATGTGTGTATGACACGAGAGATCAGTTCTCCATAGCTGCGGCTCATGAGTGCATCAAACGGCCGCTCTAGCAGAGGTGACCTGAGCTCTCACTGAGCCTGAGAGAAGGATTCTCTATGAGTCTTTTCATGATTCTTTGTAGCCGCAAATAGGGACTAGCTGTGTGATATCTAGATTACATGGACAGACAGCTACTGCATCATATTAAAGGCCTTACCAATCTTAGCTGTCAGCCGCACCGCAGGAGGAGCACAGATAGCACAGCTGCCTCTCTCTCTCTGTCTCAGATGCTCTGACTGTCATTAGTTTTGAGTTGTTTATTTTTCAAAACTTTAATTCTGGCTGCACAATAGCACATCTGGTAGTGTGACGGTTGTCAGATACTGTCATCTGCACTTCATTATATAATTGCAGCATTGCATATAAATATGCACATATTTTACCTGTAAAAATAGTTGTTCTGAAACTCAAAACCAGCTGCCTTACTATATAGCAATTTTTGGCATCATAGCCCTAACAATGTTTTTTTTTTAATATCAAGACTACAAATAAGGTACCCAGCAGCCAAGAAATCTCAAGCTATGCCAAATACAATTAGTTTTTCAGTCATCTTTTAGTCAGAAATATGAAATGTCATTGTAATTGTTATATTCTCGTCACAGGTCCAGCAGCTGCATGACATGGAGGAGGTTTGTTATGAGAAGGTCCTGAAGCAGATCAGAGGGGGTCACCAGGTAATGTCAGTGTGTGCTGAAGACCTTTTTGTCATTTAGCAGACTGTATATACAAAATTATGACTGAAGTGTTGGGTTTTGTGAGGTGTCAAGGACTCAAAGGAGGTTAGATTGTGATCTCACTCAGTCCCGTTCCCATGTCACCCTGAATCAGATCTAAACTTGTCTGCCTTCAAACAAAAGATTCTGGGAGCTAAGAATGAGCAAGACCAATACAATCCTTAACCCAGTGGTAGTGCCCTCTTTTATAGTTGTGATGAAATGGAAGTAGCAACAGATCTTTTACGCTCAGTCTGTTTCTAAATGTAGGGTGGGGTTTTATCCATCAGTTGTTGATTGGATTTTAAGATGTGGGCGTTGCATTTAAAATTGAAGGCAGATGAACATGAGTTTGCAGGGAAGAAATAAATGATTGGAGAAGTCCTGCATAAGTCACCTGAGAGAGGTCTGTCGTTTTACTGGAAGATGAAATGACAAATATTAAATAATATTTTGATTAAAAATTACAAGGTCAAAAAAACAAGCAGCATGTACAAAACATTCACAATAAGATCAGTAACATGCATTTAGAAAATAGATGCTGTTTCGGCTCAGTTTCACCAATGACAGTAATTCCAAACAAAGCCACAGCAGAACTTTGTGCCTTTCCGTGCAACACAGAGCCATGTTTATTACTGAGTGAATCTACATTTTTGAACGAATCGAGTGAGCGAATGATTCAGTGACTCATTCATAAAGATAGTCATTTGCTTTGTTTCTGAATGAATCAGCCATTTGAACGAATCGATTGAATGAATGACTGAATGATTCACTCATTAAGACTTGTTGCCACCTCCTGAGAGATTATAGCCTTAAAGGGGATTCCCATTTTCCACTAGTTGGTATGATTCTTTAGGGTCTTTATGAAATGTCTGTAACATACTTTAGTTAACCCTCTAAGCGCCAAAGTCGCAAAATTGCGACAAGACGTCATACTTAATAAAATAGGCTGTAGATCCTAATATGGTGTAATATCTAATTTGTATTCCTACCACTAGATGGCAGACATGTAGTAACGTCGATTCTAGACCAAAATGACGTCATGTTCCTATTCAAAGTGTTCGAGGAAAGAGCAGAGCAAGTGAGCTATAGTGTTCACAAAGCACAAACAAGTGATCATTTCGACCCTTTGCCCGACGGGGAGGGGGGTGGTAGCGGTGGACGTGGTCGATGTGTCCATAGGAGAGCTGTTGCTAGAGGTAGAGGCAGCAGGGGTATGAGAAATAGGGCTGGAAGTAGCACTAGCTCTTTGGATATAGTGCCCCAAAGAGGTGGGAGTGGCCGCGGTACACAGTGGAGTCAGTGTGGGGTAGGTCTGTGCGTTGTGCCATGCAATGAGAGGTACCATACTCTCAAGAACTATAAACTGTGTCACCTAGATACCTGATTGGGCAGATAGCTGGTCAACTGATCAAAAAATAGGCACATGCATTTTACTATGGCACAGTAATATAGTAATAATTTACTACTTGCTCCTGTTTCTACTGTTGATTTCCTCTTTTCCTGATCATTTGGAATGAGGATAAAAAGACAAAAAAACATGCAAATAAATTCAAACATCCATTCAATATCTATTATTTCCTGAATATTACTGATGAACTTATCAAAAAGTAGGCTACTGTTCACATGCGTTTTACTACTATATAGTATAGTAATATAGTAATAATTTAGTACTTTCTCCTGTTTTATTGTTGGTTTCCTCTTTTCTGATCATTTGGAATGAGGATAAAAAGACAAAAAAAAACATGCAAATAAGTTCAAACATCAATTCAATATCTACTATTTCCTGAATATTATGAAATTCAAGATGACCGCCCCCTAATGTCGTCATAATATGCAAATTAGACGAGTATATTTACACCCCACATAAACTTTCGGTCATGCCCAACATTTTTCTAATTTACAGTAGATCTCTATCTTTAAGCCCTTTCAAGCCACAAGCTTTTGAAATCTTGATGTCAAAATCCAGCATTTTTCCAAAAATCCCTGGCGCCTAAAAGGTTAAAAGTCCTCAGTGGTTGTAAAACAACACCCTTTTTACCTTGTTAAAAACAACTCTGTTCACAGCGAGCTGTTTCAGTGCATGTCTCTTTAAATGATAATGAGCTCTGCTCACCCTGCCCCTCTCTTCTGTGGGGCGTGTCGACGGAAGACGTGTGAATTGCTGCCGTATATGACTTGGAGGTGGTCTTGAGTATATGACAGACGGAGCACTATAGAATAGGAGTGCAATAATTCAGGCTAAAATATATTTTTTACTAAAATATTTGTAGTTGGGCAATAAATGTGCCATGTGTATCATTTTAAACCTAAAATCAGGCTGTGTATTTTATGATAGCTGTAAATGACTATTGTAATGGGGTAATCGAAATATAATGCAATTAGTCTGTGCTTTTGTTTTTATTTCTATTCATTTTTAATTTAGTGAATTTAACTTCTGATTTAAATAGCATTGTTTTTGTTTTTAGATTGTAATATTACAATATTAGAATGTAATGTGATTTTAGCCCCTTTTTCTCCACATAATATATAGCATAGCCTACATGGTTACTTTCACTATATTTGTTTTCACTGCCATTGGACGACATTAGGCAGGATGTTAAAAAAAAAAAAGTGTTGAAATGGGTTTATTTTTTCCCATTTTAGAGAACAATCCCCCAACCCCCATGGCAGCAAATCGGAGAAGAAAAAATAAAACTTTATTATTTATAATATCACATTTCTTTATAAAAATGGCTTTTGCAGTGTCTTGGATGTAAAATGCTAGTGCTTTGCAGGAATAATATGAATGGAATAGTTCACCTACTCCAAACACAGAGGATGTTTTCATCCGTGAAACACTAGGATGAGGGATGTGAGGATGGTAATTGTAACTGTCAAGCTCCAAAAAGCACATAAAAGTAATATAATATAATAGTCCATATAATTTGTGCCATTTATAATTTGTTTCCCCTTACCTGAAACCCCCAACCTCTACCCATAAATCCTAATACTCATACCCCTCTTCCTAGTCTAAACCACAAACCTCACCTTATTACAGATCCCAATCCTATAGAAGAAGTCAACACATGTTAGCAGTGTTGGTCCTGATCTGTTGATTGGTTCAGTAACTAAAAATAACAACATGTGAGAAATGTGTCCAAGTTGGGGTTGTTATGTTCAGAGGACAGAGTGTCAGCGGTATGGGACGTTGTGACCTCATTGTGGAGGATGTGAGAGAAGAGCCCTGATCATATACCTCATTCTTGCATGTCCACATGCTGTATGTATCGCTGTCTTTGATCTGTGCACCTGATCATCATTTGTCTTTTTGAGTATGTTCAGGAAGTGTCTTCTCAAGGAGAAACACAATGAAAGGCCTTCTCGGGAAGGTTTTGCGGTTTAATTGAAAATCATCATTCCTGTATTCCAGCTCTGAAGGTCACAGACTCTGCGGTAGCTGTGGTATATTGTGCCCTGTGCCTCATCCTGAACTCAATTTCTAAATCTCATAAATCTCCAAACAACCCCACTCTTACCACCACATAACCTCCCACCTTGCAAATGCTCCGTGTGTCTCACACTCCCGTCTTCTGTTTGATTTATTTGCAGGTTTTTTTGGTGTGGTTTTTAGATTCTGTCCATATTCTTTCTTGCTCTAAAGACTAGATGAGTTATACGTTTAACTGCTTGTCCTGGTCGTGGACATAAGTGCAGTATACATGGTCTGATCTAATCTTACACTGTCCACTGGTTTAGAGGATCTTTAGGATTTTAGTTAAAGGACATGCCACATACAGCGGCCCAAAAAAAGTATTTGGACACAAAAACAACACTTAAAATTTCTGAATGCCATTGGATTAGATAACAAAATTTCAAATAATGTGATGTTTTATTTTAAATGAAGATAGCACTTTGCAAAGCACAAAATCAATAAATAAATAAATAATAATAAGTAGGGCTGTGCAATTTGGGGGAAAATATCAAATTGCGATTTTTTTTGACAGATATTGAGATTTGATTTGCAATTTTAAATTTGCAAAGTCAAGCTTCAGCTCAATATTGTCAATAATGCGCAGCACAGTATGAGTATCATTACCCTGCTGAAAAAAACAATAGAAACCATCACAGAAATTCTTATAGTTTCCATTAAACCATTACAAAATTCATTTTTGTTTTGGGCATTATTCCAATAGGAATTACTGTTGTTCTATTGGTTGCCATCTGCCAGATTACATCCCACCAATAGAATCCATCAAATAGACACCATTATAGTTTACATTAAAACCAATACAATTCCCATTATAACCCTGAAATCCATTACATTTGTTATTGTGTTTTGGGAGGGGTT